CCAGTTTCATGAGCATTTACACACCATTCCAAACGAAGGAGAAGGGGATTGTGCATACATTGCCATCGCACAGGCATTGACTCGGAGCAACGGCACCGCCTCCACCACTAAAGAACAAGATCTCTTGCCTGCGGGCAGACTCCAAGCGCAACTCCGCTTGCTTGCTGCAAAGGAGATGCAAGCTCATCCTGCTGATTATAGAATTGCGTCAGACTCTGAGATTCCCATCAACACGCGCACGGCCGGAGTATGGGCCCACTCACAGTCACTCTCTGCTCTGGCCTCAGCGGCAAATGTAGATATTTATGTTTGGGCTTTTGATCAAGGCCAGTGGACACTGTATCACATTAGGCCCAAGAAAAAGCCCGGCGCAGCACTACGAGTGCTTGGTTGGTGAAGTCCCAGCCGACGTTAAAGCTAAATGGGCTAGGAAGGTTTGCAAGCTCCCAAGGACTTTGAAAGCCCTCACAGCGGGAGGCAAGAGTGTCCAGACTTCAGCTTCCGCACTCAAACTCCTTGGTTTGGCCAGTCATGGTAGCATGAAGAGGCACCTCCACAGCTGCACTCCGTCTCTTAGGCGTCCAGCCAGCTAACAAACCTATGCGTGACACTGCCGAGGATGCGCCTGCTGAAGTTTGCCTCGGCCCTGGTGAGATGAGAAAGCCAAAACACATTGGCACCAGCGTCAACGTAAGCTACCTCTGGCACGACCCCTTAGTGCCCGCCAGCTTGATCATCGGAAAGCTGTTGTCAGTGTTGCTAACGCAGTTGCCGAAACTGCGATAAATAGTTTTCAATCTTGGAGGGAGAACTTCTTTACGAAGCGCCCTAAGATGGAGCTTGCCGCTTGTGACTCCAATCGTGAGGCCTCCTTCGCACTGCAAAACAGAAGAGCTGACGCATGTACCAAATGGGAGGCTACCATGGGAAAGGCGACTGCTCAGCACCGGCATGCCGACAGAGTCAGAACCTACGCGGCTCGGCGTGCCAGTGACAAAGGACGTACTTACATGCCGCAAAGTCCGGGTGACGGAGGCAAGAGTGTCCAGACTTCAGCTTCCGCACTCAAACTCCTTGGTTTGGCCAGTCATGGTAGCATGAAGAGGCACCTGCACAGCTGCACTCCGTCTCTTAGGCCTCCAGCCCGCTCAAAAACGCAAGTTTGACACTGCCGAGGATGCGCCTGCTGAAGTTTGCCTCGGCCCTGGTGAGCACCTTGACTGCAAGTGTGGCTGGAAGCCACCTGCACACCGACTAGCCAGTACCAGGACACATTGGCACCAGTGTCGAGGTAAGCTATCTCCGGCACGACCCCTTTAGGACCGAAACTGCGACAAATAATTTTCAATCTTGGAGGGAGAAGTTTTTTAGGAAGCGCCTTAAGATGGAGCCTGCCACTTGTGACCCCAATGTGAGGTCTCTTTCACACTGCAAAACAGAAGAGCCTGACGCGTGCACCAAATGCGGAGCCATTCGTCGCCTCGCCGAGTTCAGACGCCAGCCGTGTGCCAAGAAGCCTGAAAGAATCAGGCTAGTAAAGTGGACGGAGGCTTCCATGGGAAAGGCTACTTACTGCTCAGCACAGGCATGCCGACAGAGTCAGAACCTACGCGGCTTGGCGTGCCAGTGACAAAGGACGTACTTACATGGCAGATTATGCTGTAAAGCAAGAAGGAGGCTGAGGCAAAAGCCGCAAAGTCCGGGTGACGGAGGCAAGAGTGTCCAGACTTCAGCTTCCGCACTCAAACTCCTTGGTTTGGCCAGTCATGGTAGCATGAAGAGCAAACAGAAAGTTTCTGCCCCGTCGCGACAGGGTAGTGGCACCTCCACAGCTGCACTCCGTCTCTTAGGCCTCCAGCCCGCTAACAAACGCAAGTTTGACACTGCCGAGGATGCGCCTGCTGAAGTTTGCCTCGGCCCTGGTGAGCACCTTGACTGCAAGTGCCACTTGCGCACCTGAAGCCGAATAGCCAGTATGAGAAGGCCAAAACACATTGGCACCAGCGTCAAGGTAAGCTACCTCTGGCACGACCCCTGAGTGCCCGCCAGCTTGATCATCGGAAAGCTATTGTCAGTGGAGCTACCGCAGTTGCCGAAACTGCGATAAATAGTTTTCAATCTTGGAGGGAGAACTTCTTTACGAAGCGCCCTAAGATGGAGCTTGCCGCTTGTGACTCCAATCGTGAGGCCTCCTTCGCACTGCAAAACAGAAGAGCTGACGCATGCACCAAATGGGAGGCTACCATGGGAAAGGCGACTGCTCAGCACCGGCATGCCGACAGAGTCAGAACCTACGCGGCTTGGCGTGCCAGTGACAAAGGACGTACTTACATGGCAGATTATGCTCGAAGCCGGCGTCAAAGCAAGAAGGAGGCTGAGGCAAAAGCCGCAAAGTCCGAGTGACTGGTTAAAGTTTTGTCGATTAACTGCACCAGCCTGACCGCTGACCGTCTCCACACCATCCTTGAACATGCACGTGCCACGCAAGCACACGTTGTTGCGGTGCGAGAAGCTCGCCTTCCTTAAACCAGGTTGGGCGGCGCGCGCTGCGGCAAAAGCCGGCTGGAAAAGCCACTTCTCCCTAGCCAAACCCTAAGGACTGGGCCGTTACACGCAAGGTGGCGCAGCCCTATTGTGGCGTCAAGACCTGGGCAAATGCAGTTCACTGACCCGCCACGTCGAGACATCGGTGGCGCATAGAGACGCAACGATCATTTTTTATTCGATCACGATAGCATGTGCTAGTGGCCCCAGCAAGCGATACGACCGCAACTGGTTAGAAGCCTTGATGGGGCACTGCATGCAAAATTCCTTGGGCGAGTGTCTCGTTATAGGAGATTTAAACTGGAAGGGTGGTTATGACTCATGACAATGTCGTTCCCAGGCAGTGGTTCCGCTGTCGCCCTCTCCCTAGCACCCAGGAAAACACTTCCCCCGCGCGAGCACTTGCTTCGGGAGGCTTGAAAGCGAACTCAGATTGACGCCACACCACTTCCCCAGGTATTCCTTTTCACTATGCTTCACTCTTCAGTCTTGTTCTAAATCAGACTCCCCCCGAAACTTCGGCAACAACCAAGCTACGAAAGTGTCCAACTTTTGGAATGGGGGCCGAGACCTCCCACCACGCGGGAACACGATGACATTATGTCGGAAGTTGACGCTTCCGTCGGAGTTCCTGGCCCTCAGAGATAGATGGTTACTGTGGCCCAAAAGAGCTGAGAAAGCTTTTCGCCATCGCTGTTGGCCGAAATTTGGCCACTAAAACTATGGAATCAAGAACTCTTGGAAGTCATTCTGCTTGAAACATTTGGAAAGTTGTCGGAATTCCGAAGCAATCTTGGTGGGTGTCCCGCCCCATTTCAGCAGGTTCGGTTTTAGTCCGTGCCTTTCACAAGTGCCTTTTTGGCCATGTGCCCGGCACCACCACCAGGCCAATACTGCCGAAGGAAAGGCATGTGAGTAATGCTTTTGCCGACATGCTTTGGTGTCGCCCTCGCCACATTGCTGAACTCGACTTATCGAAGCCGCCACACTCGGCCCTTGGATCCAGCTTGTTGACAAGCAGGCATGCAAGACTTGGCTGTACATGGACGATAGGACAATAAAACCCGACTCCCAACAAGCGCTGAGTGATGTCATTCAGCAAACTGGAAGGTTTGACGAGAAATGGGTTTTCAAAACAATAGTGGCAAAATGCAGGTTTTTGATGCAGATGCTGATAACGAGACAGCGTTGGTCATGGAACACCTTGGCCTTCGCTGGCCTCCTACTGCACCAGAAAATCTTACGGCAACATTGAGGTGCGTTGCAGGCTTGCATGCAGTTTCTTCCGCCCGGCACTCGATTGGGCCAGCCCACTACTTCCCCCAGGTACGGACAAACAAGCTAAGGAGCTTTTTCGAGCTTTGACGCACTGCCGCGCCGTATGGTGGTGCCAAGGCAGATGGTGGGCAGGCTTTATGGAAGACCACCCACATCTCGGCCCCGCGCTTGACTGCACTTTTAAGTGTACATGCGGAGGCCCTGCAACTTCGTCTCATCAGAACAGACGCTCAGGGAGTTTGGGTCCAACACAACGGCAGGCCGTTGCAGGTCTTTCTGTTGGCCAGCACCCTGAAAGCATGATTCGACCATACTCGACCCTTTCATGTCTGCAATGAGCATGCAAAGCATTGCTTGCACATCCGTGCTCGTCGCCTTGCTTTGGCCCACGGCCCAACATACCAGATTTGCTTATGAAGCGGTTCGTGACATCGATCTCGAGGCCTCCAGCTCACAGACATGGAAACAGTGGACCAAAAGATTGCCCGCTGAGGAGCGTTTTTCCTTGACCGTCTGGTGTGCCGGAGCCGTCAGGACTAAAACCCGGTTAAATTACCGACCTAACCAGCATAACACTCACACTGAGTGTGATTGGTGCGATGCTCCGGCAGCTAGCGTCCATCATTACTTCATTGCCTGTCGTCGTTTTGCACACCGAGGTCAGAATCCCGCCGCTGCGGTGGAATCAACAACCAAGATGCTTGACTAGAGCAGGCTGGATCGCGATGTCTGCAGCTCACACGCGCCCCAGGCGTGTCAAGTTGCAAATCGCGGCCTGTAAGCTTAGCATTGAGATTTGCAAGGCTTGTGCCCCAGACACAAATTCTGTGATTTTCTTTCATTTACTATTTTCTTTTCGTCCATTCCAATTTCGATTGTTTTCTATGTTTTTGGGTCTTCTTGTTGACCTTCTTCACGATTTGTTTTGCCGTCACTTGAGACAAAGGGTTTGACACACGCCGCTCTGCTGTCATATGACTGTGACTGTGATTTTTTTCATCCCCTCTCCCATCGGTTTTTCGGTTTAGTCCCTTCCTCTGGGTTTCCTTAACATGTAGGTGTGACGTGTCGTCGCCTGACGACAGCACCGTCAAAAACCCTGAAACGGTGTTGGTTGATGCTGCGTCAAACCCACTTGCTAGGTTGGGGCACCTGCAATCAATCAATCTCGGACACAGGACATGGGTGGCGGTACTTTTGACGTCTCGCTCCTGACCATCGAGGATGGCATTTTCGAGGTGAAGGTGCCACCTCTGAGGGTTCTGTGATGAGAAGGTAGTCGTCAGCATGTCGGTCGGTAGACCATCTGCAAGCAGTCGAAAAACACCAAGCGCAGGCCACCGCTGGCGACACCCACTTGGGCGGTGAGGACTTCGACAACCGAGTGGTGGATTTCTGCATCCAGGACTTCAAGTGACTTGGCTGAGTACTTGCAAGGGTTTTCATAGGAAAGTTGCAGCTTCGCTGGATTTCTGTCCAAGGCGCAAGAACCGCGGCAAGGACATGGCCGGCAACCAGCGTGCTATCCGACGCCTGCGGACGCAGTGCGAGCGAGCCAAGCGCACGCTGTCTTCTTCCACGCAGGCCACCATCGAGATCGATTCTCTCTTCGAGGGCATCGACTACTC